GGAGTCGGAGGGGAGCTGGAGGATGTCGCGGACGATGGCGCGGTCGGCGGCGTCGAGGCCGGTGCGGCGGGTGCGCCAAAGGGCCTGCAGGATGTACTCTACCGAGTCCTTGGAGCGCGCGCGGGCCAGCAGCGGGAGGTGCTCGTGCCCCCAGAGCGCCGCCGCCGATGACGTCCCGTGCTCCATCGCCGGCCGTGTTCTGCCGCCGCGGGCGGGGGAGACTATGGCCTTGTGGGCTAAGACAGAAGACATGACTGCGTAGCAGCGAAGGCAATGTCGATTGCTAACGGGCTGAAAGTAGTCCATGGGCCTTAACTGTGGAGAGCTCAGAGATCAGAAGGGCCATTTCGCGCACCAGGCCCATCCACTAGCAGCATGGCTGGCTCACCGAAATCACTGGAAAAAACTAGTTCACCTCAAAAAAAAAAAAACTAGTACCCCTAAAAAAATAGAAATAACTAGTTTTTTTAGGCAAAACACACATTATTTATTACTCATAAACAATGTTTACAGGAACTGCAGCAGGGTCATAAGGTATTCCCAGCCAAATATGCCTACCAACATCTAAATTAACAGTGTGCTTTGCCAGAGAATGAGCATCAAAATTAAAGCTTCTACATTCATAAACTAAATTATACTTGTTGAAAAATGATTCCTACGTAAACTAAATTATACTTGTTGAAAAATGATTCCTACGCTCCTTTATTTCTCTGATGATTGCACCATATGCCCCGGATGAACCTTCCTTGAGGTCATTCATCACAACCTGACAATCGGAAGCAACAACTATTCTTGAGAGAGGGAAAGATCATCGGCTAGTGCAAGGCCCTCTCAGCAAGCGAGTGCTTCTAGGCTTGATGGGTCCTTGGTACTCTGCACCACAATCGCCGAGGCTCCAACATAAACTCCTTGCTCTGTTCTACATATAGCAGCAGCGGTGCCCTTGCTGTCGTTCTGATTGAAAGCTCCATCTATGTTAATTTTCTCGTTGCTTGTCCCTGGAGGAAGCCACTTCTCTCCGGTATCATGAACTTGTATCGGCTGGCTAGCCTTTGGGTCTTGAATAGCATTTAGCTCAGCATTGTAAGAGTTGACAAAATGATGAATAGGAATTATACTCTGATGTATATCCTCGTGGATTGCCTTTCTCCTTGAAAACCATATTGCCTATAGAGTAACGATCAACCAGGTGAAAATATGCATGTGATAACGACTCGTTCATTGAAAAAGCTAGTTTTTTGGCATTTGGTTCAGTGCATGCCGCCATACTCTTTGTAATGCTCTCCTGGCTTAAAGCCCAGGTTCACCAAGAATTCGAGCAGTCCAAAAGGGAGTGCCTCTATGAGTCTTAGCACCCTCATAGAGTGCAGCTGCTCGTAGTGATAATATGTCGATGATGTAAAAGCTCACCTGATGGTAAGGATTGTTGTGCCAATGTCAAATGATTACTTCCAGCTTGGAAGGAACCGAGAGATTCCATATATTTATCCATGCTTTATTCGCTTGCTGAGTATTGGATGATCCAAGGACCCCATCGAGCCAATTCTCTCCTCTAGTCTTTGTATCAACAAGCATACGATATGTGGATTGCACAATAAAATGGCCATTTCGTTCAAAGTACCTTGAGCAGAAATCGGTTACTCCACTAATGCAAAGAGGTATACCCAGTATTGCATCAGCATCCATGGGCAGAAACACTTGTCAGATAATAATAATAATAATAATAATAATAACAACAACAACTAGTTTCTCTCACAAAAACAATAATAATAGAAATAATTAGTGTGTCAAGGGTTATCTAAAAAAAGTTTGTTAAGGTACTTTTTGCAAAGGGGATTTCCATCTCCTCTAGCGATGACAAGTGGCGCCGCATGTGCGTCATTTGTCGTAATCTAAGAGTTTTAGTGAGATTTCTTCCGACTGAGGGATGGTTGGATCAGTTGGTGTTTTCTTGATCCTTTTTTAAAACAAAATATCTCTTGAACCATGCGTCCAAATTAGAAACTGTTCTTACCGTTGTTTCTCACGTCAATATTTTCAAAACTAAATCTCATGTCGATATACGTCGATATCTTTAAACTAAATCTCATGTTAATAGGTTTTTGACAAACATTTTTGGGGCAAATTTGTACTCCCATCTGGTACTAACCCGTGCTCCAAATGTAAACTAACTCGTCTCCCAACTAAAACTAACATGTGCTTCCCAATGTGTGCTCTCAACTGGCAGTAGCATGAGTGCTTTCAGTGTGTGCTTCTAACAATACTAACTTGTGCTTTCAACCTGTACTAACAAGTGCTCCCAAGTAAACGAACATGTACTCCGGCATGGGTAAAGCACATGCTCCTCGCACGAATACACTCGTACTTTCCAAGCGAACCTGTGCTCCACGACAGAACACGCTTGTGCTCCCATGTGAAGCACACATGTGATGCAGTGCACACGAGGAGCACATGTGCGTCAGAAAAAATGAGAAAAAAAACCTAAAAACAAAGGAAATACCAAAAAGTCAAAAGGAAAGGAAATAAGAGAAGAA